TGAATTGAGTTTGGGAGCACTTTGCTGTATGATAGGACCGTGTTTGGCTTGTTGTTTTATGAAAATTAGGTTTTAGCGTGTTGTTTACCTTACTACAGATGTTAGGAGACGTCGTTGGTGTTTGGTTTCCGAATAATAGATCCGTCAAGTCCGAATTTGTCAATATCTTTCCAACTTTACCGAACATTCTTTGTACTGATTTGGCACTGATAACTATCACAGCGTGTGCTATGCAAAATAACCATCAGAATGCCGTTTAAGCACATATCACAACAGAAAAATGTACTCAATTAAAGATGTTTTATACATTTGGATGATCATCATTTACCCATCCCCCAAAATGTGCGCACTGCAAGCTGTCCTACCTGTGGATGAGGGTACGCAGGGTCCTTTATGCGCCTGGCTGACTGCAGGTCTCCCCTTCTGCTCAGCTTTGCGGCTGGCCACTCTTGTCTTACACACATTCCCGTACGTTTTCCCGTCGCTCCCGCACACTTCATGCTCCATCTTACACCGGCAGACCCCCTTGGAGCCTCGCCGCTTCCCCGCAGCGAGCAGCTTGCACTCCAGGCCATCCCCGCAGGGCAGGTCGCTCTTTCGGCCGCAGGGGTCTCCTTCGCGGGGGGAGCACACCATGCAGCAGTTACATCTGTCCGGGACATACCCGCCGGACGGACAGCTGGGGCTCGGACACGAGCTCACCTCGCAGCGGGACGCGCACTTTTCTGGATGCACAGCTCCGGTGAAGTCGTGCGTAAAGAGAAATGCAGCTACGAGTAAAAGTAACTGCATTGTGATAGACTTGACACAAAGTTATGGTGGATATTTTTGGATTGTTTAATATCTCTTTCTTAAGGATTTTCTGTGTTTGGACCCGATGGCTACTTCCACAGATCGACTGGGCTCGTGTCCTCAGCTCTCTGGAAGTTTTACTCCGGACATTAGTCATCAGGGCCTGCCTGCATATTCTGACAACCTGGTGACTGTACATCACTTAGTTGGAGGCCACTCACTACATGTAGCTGATAATGCACGCCATCCAGTGGAAATAAAACGCACAACACCATATAAAAGCAGCCTATTCCTCCAGTACAGAGAGTACTCAAATACTGGACATAATTAAGAAACACGTTTGATGCTTCTATTTTATTATGATCTTCTTATGTAACTACATACTTCTTCTCTGAAATATTGTACATGAATCAATTGTTCACGCTGTCTCCTCTGCAGTGGCGGTTCTAGACCAGTTTGACTGGGGGGGGGCCAGGCTGGGGCCAGTTATTTTCTGAGGGGGGCCCAATAAATGCAGGACGAAAAAGACAAAGACAGTATGAAGTAATTGCGCATAAGAAAACAATGCAATACAGTTATTGGTATTTGTTTCATCACACATATTTATTTCAGATACTTATAGTTACAGTTTTTACGCTCTAATGCAGGGGTCTCCAACCTTTTTTAGGATGAGAGCTACTTGCAAAAAATAAAACAAGTCGTGAGCTACTTTTACTCCTCTTTTTTTTGTTTTTTGCAGTGTATATATTTAGTACATTTTAACATTATTAAATGCTGACCTTTAACCTTTGTGTGCTGTTTGGTTCTGTGGGACCCCTTTTCAGTGTTTACTAAAAGACAATGTAGGTTATTTAATTATTTGAACCTGCTTTTTTTGTGGGTGGACCTCACCTCCTCTAGGGGGGGTCCGGGGGCATGCACCCCCGGGAAGATGTTTTTTTAAATGTTGAAGTGAAATGCATCAATCTGGTGCACTTTGAGCAGAACATGAATTGATGGATACAGCTCTCAACACTCAGATGAAAGGGAGCTGTATACTTTTCAATGATCCAAACATCTTTAGAATATGATTACAACCAATAACAAATCATTTAAACTGGTTTATTCTTATCTTATGTTACCTAGTTAGCATTCTTTCTTTTTATTTATGCATATTTTACTAATCACTCCCCTTTTAAACTGTTTTTTGTTTTTTTTACTGTCCGATAGTACACATTGAAATGATTTCTTACTTTATTTTGTACAACTATATGAAATAGATAAAGGTGTGCTCTCTCTAATGGGTCCGACTAGAATTACAAATATCGTTAGTTCCGCCAATTCTGTCAGCCAAGAAATCGTTTAATCACTTATTTTTTTTTTCATTTTCAGGGGGGCCACAGGGGGGGTCACACACTGACTTTGGACCCCCCCTAGAACCGCCCCTGCTCCTCTGCCAAACGCACATGACAATCTGCTGCAGCATACCTGGACACAACACCGGTCACTGATAGTAACTCTTCTTCACTGCAACAGACACACCCCATCCTGCTCACTGACGCAACCCAGCGGCCCACAAAAAAACCTTCTCTTCATAACGATGTTTCACACACTGTTTACCCGGTTATCCATGCTTCTTCTCTGATGGACATGATGAGGAGCCAGGGAACTCAAAGCCTATACAACTCCCTATCCCTGTGCTCAGAAGCATCAACAAAAGGTACCCGTCCTGCCCTCTACGTACAAGAAACAGTGCACACCTGATAACTGTCCCCATAACACCCCACTCAGTTCAAGAGAACGTAGTGCACTTGGCTGTTTTAAATGTCAGGTCCTTGTCAGGCAAGTCACTTTTAATTAATGATTGAATTAACAATTATAGCCTTAACTTCATGTTTTTAACAGAAACCTGGCTAGACGAGAACAACAGTGGGGCTGTTCTCATTGAAACAGACCATTTTTTTGGTGAATACAGAGCACACAGAAAAGGAGGAGGTGTTGCTATTATATTTAATAATGCTTTTCAATGCAAGAAAAATATCAATCTAATCATTTCCCTCTTTTGAATACCAAGCCGTTCAATGTAATTCCTTCTGTCGAGCACTGTTTATAACTATCTACAGGCCACCAAAATATTCTGCACAATTTTGTGATGATTTATCTGAACTATTGTCGATTATTTGCATAGATTTTGACTGTATACTCATGGTTGGTGACTTCAACATTTATGTTGACAACCCCAAGGACAGTAGAACTATCGAACTTAATAATATTCCAGTAAACCTGAGGTCTTCACCAACGCTGAGTTCTTTTAAGTCGAGGCTAAAAACACTACTTTTTAGAGCTGCTTACCCAGAAGCCTTTTAACTTGTTTTACTACCTACCGTATTTTTCAATGTCGTTTTTAAACTATTTTGTATCTCATTAATGCATTGTTTTTATGAATCTGTTATTCTATTGTGTTTATTTATTGTGTTCCTCTCTGTTGTCTTATTATTATGTGTTAATGATGTGTTAAAGCACTTTGAATTGCCTCTGCGTCTGAAATGTGCTATGTAAATAAATGTACCATACCTTACATGCTGAAATATCTGAATCATTGACTTGAATTAAATGTTTGATGTCAGCAGAGTTTACATAACTGTATTAGGTTAGTTGAAAGCTATAATATCAAGTTTAGAAAAAAATATTAGGTTCAACTTAAAGGTAGGGGTAGGTAATTTTGGAGAAACCAGCTCGAGTGCGCTAGAATTTGAAAATACACAACCGGTAAAAATCTGCCACTTCCTTACAGAGCCCCTCCTCCAACACACACGAACGCGCACATGACCAATGAGGGCACGAGATAAGTTTGTGCACAGATGGAAGGCTGACAGGCAGGTAGGCCATCCAGTTATTTTAGCCGGGCCGGCTAAAATGATTGGTCCGGCTTCCACAGATGAAATTTATTAATGGATTTAACGGTTTCTCAAATGTACCTACCCCACCTTTAATATTATTGCTTTCAACTAACCTAATACAGTTATGTGAAACTAGTTGAGATAATACATTTAATTAAAATGAGCATTTCAGTTTTTTCAGTGCAGACTACAGTTTAACTGTTTTAGTATCCTTGCGGCAAGCACTTCTCATATATTTTATTGCTGCTTATGTCGCAGTACAAATCAAAATATAGATAGGCCTAAACAAATTCCCAAAGATATACAAGTGCATGAGCCATTTGCTTAAAATATGACTGATGTAAACATGCAGTGTGCATCGGAAAACAGCTTTTAACATGATTAGTCATTGTTTTTAGAGAAAGTGTTAGTCAGTTTGAGAGTGGTAGTGATATTGCATTTTTAATTTTAAGAGATGCACCTTTTTATCCACATGGTGGCAGTATTAAGCCACGTGTGCTCTTTCTTTTTTTGTACTTCTGAAACACACACTAATCGTATTGTAACATATGTTTTCATATCTTATTTCTTCTCCAAATGCTTTGCCTCAGTCCATATGAGTGTGTGGTGACACTTTTCAACTACTTCCGGCATACTGGGGAGGGAGCATGTGGATGTTTGCTAGTGCACGTGTTTCATATATTTATATACATTTAATTGACAGCGGTTAAATTATGAATGTGTTTGTACTCAGGTGATGACATTTGATCATCAATGCCTCCATTAAAATTAAAATGTTCTAACCTGCAACCTGATCTTTAATTTATTGACCTAAATACTTAGAACTAGTATTTTAATTCAATGTTATGCTTCTTTATATTTTGTAGATAATAGGTCCATACTCCTACTTTAGGTTTTAAATCTGGGACTTTTTGTAATGCTCTTCCACTTTAAAGTCTGATATACTGTATATATTTGATTAGTCATTTTCTTAGTTGTTTTTCTTGTAAACATTTCCCTCCTTTTCCCCCCCCCCCTAAGTGTGGTATCAGTACTTTTACTTCAGGAAATGATCTGAATACTTCTTCCATCACTGTCGAAGTCACAGCTACAATTTGATGGTGTCGGTTGAAGGTTTTTAGTAACATTATTGTCCACAAGGTCATTGATTTAACTGTAATAATAAAGGGAACAGTCTGGTTGGTTTGCATTGGAGTTATTAATAGCTCACTTTGAGCTAATACTCCCGTCATCATTAATCATTAAGGTTCAATGCTCCTGGCGTGGGAGTGGAAACTGTCTTTGCTGAACACACCTTGGTCGACAATGTTTTAAGACGTCACACAAGACTCAAATTCCCCACATTTTTATTTTTCACCTGTTAAATATACCACTTTTCTTATACAATCATTGAGTTGGAAAAGAAATTTCAAGATGCATACATAAGAAATCACAACAGCCTCGAGCATGTTGGAAATATTGTCCTCTGTTTAGTTTCTTCTCTTCATATAACGTATCATAAAGGGCAGGAAAGAGGTGCTGCGCCTTATAAGGAGCAATTAAATATATGTCAAACAACAAATACATTCATTTTTACGAAAAAGAAAAAAAAAGTATATTTTTGACAGCATTCACTCGTATTGAAATGTTCAGGAGCAATAATCTATATAGAAAACGTAAACAGATTACATTCAAGCAATGTTGTTTTTTTACTAAGTCCTCCTTCCCCAAAGTCTATATTCAAGTTTCAACGATATTCATTTTCTTGAGGCTTTTAAATACTCCGTCCACACACAGATTTTGGCAGTAGTGAGAGTTGAAGACACTAGGTTTGCGTTAGATGCAGATTTGAAAAACTAACACTGGGTAAAAACAGCGCTTTGACCCAGTGCTGCTGAACAAGTCAAACACTTCCAGCAGTGCAAGTGTATCTATATTTTATTAAGTAATCCTACAAGGCAAAGCAAACAGTTTGGGTGTTTATCCCATACCAGGAACAAACTGTTCCAAATTCTAAAAAAATCACTTTCGATCCCCAAACATACTGAACCACAAATCTGTCAAGTACTTCTTCTTTGGCCATTAGCCCACTGAGAGACCTTGCAAAAGACTTCCGTAGGTACTTTAGGTGGGTACAAAAAATAATCTTTCTGCCTGCTAACAATAAACAAAGCCCACCTGTGTGGAAAATCCGATTATCCAATCAAGTCACCATGGTAACAACAAACAGCCCCAAGGTCTTTTGCAGACACTGGTGTGCCTCTTCACAATTTGAGGAATGTGTCTCCATCTTACTTCCTACCACCCAAAATATGAGTGCCATATTCTTCTTCCTCCCTTCAGGAAAGAAAAATAAAGAGCTGTAGCAAAAGTCTTCCCTCCGCTGCCCTCCCCCCCCCTCTACCAAGAGGAGAAAAAGGGCCGCTTGCAGTGGAAGGTTTGTGTGAAGGCGTTGCCGAAGGTGACCACGCGTCCCTGCCCCCCCGAGCGGCTGCGCTCCACCACCACCCGCGGCATCTGCACCAGCTGGATGGGGCTCTTCCCGTCCTTCAGCGCCTGGGTCAGGTTCAACACCTGGTGATAAACAGGGGTGGTCATGTATGACATACAGAAAGCAGTTTTCATTGTTGCATTGGTTGATTTTGAGAGTATGTGAAGTTAAAGGGATAGTTGAGAGGGGGCTTGATGAGGTACTGATCCATAAACACTGTTATATGAAGCATAAAAAATGGCGACGGTGATGATGGCTGCCGTGTCTTTGGCTCTTCTCCATATCTGCAGTTTTTTCGTTATATTTCGGTGTTTGTTTACATTTCGTTGTGTGCTTTTCAAAACATTCTCTTGCACTATTTTATCTGTTTTATTTGTTCTATCCTATATATATATATATATATATATATATATATATATATATATATATATATATATATATATATATATATATATATATATATATATATATATATATATATATATATATATATATTCATGTTGCACTGTTGGAGGAGCCTGTGACTGAAGTGTTTCATTGCCATATCTACACTGTAGCTAATGTGCACATGACAATAAAGCCTTGAAACTTGATCTACAGACAATGATCTACAGACCACTTATGGTTTGGAAAAGGGCCACCTAACAGAAAGACCCACCTAAAGTATTCAATTGATTGATTGAGTGCTATATTTTCACAACTTTATTCTGCTCTGAGAGACCTTTCCTACAGGGAACTGAAGTCGTAAAATACTCCATTGACAAAAACAGTCATTTGGCCTTGCAGAACAAAAGACTGGCTTCTTACCGCTGCAATGATAAGCTTGTTTGTGTTGTTGTGTGACCTTTGTGATTCCGAACTAACCCTTTCAAAAGCACAGCATTTGCTCCATGACCAGAGGTGGGAGAAGTACTCAGATCTGAAGCTGGTAAAGGTGCAGCTAGCTGTAATGACTTTGTATACTGCAGGGTAGCTTGTGAATTTAATGGAATATAAAACATGTATTATGTATTGTAACCAGAAAATGACAAGTACACTAAAAGAACAATATCAAAAAAGAGCCTTGAGCAATGTTATGATACTTCTATGACACGCTTAGTTGTCACAAGGATAGGCATGGAAATAGACAGGAGTGGATGGTGAGAAAATAGGTCAAGGCGGTTAGGAATGAAGTCATTAAAAAACAACCAAAGTGACTGAAAGTAGGGCACAGAAGAGAGAAAGGACAGCAGGAAGGATATATATAAAAAGAACGAAATACAGGACACGAAGGCAGAGAAGCTTTTGAAAACAGACAAATCCCACTTAAAAAAAAGAAACTCACCTGTCCCCTCATTACAGACATCTGTCTCTCAAACATGGTTTTATCGAAGCCTTTATCCGTCTGAAGGGAACAACGATGACACATGTTAGCGGGAGTCTTGTGACAGCTGTTTGTATACAGCTGTTAGAGGGAGGAGAAGAGGTGAGGTGGTCTGTACCTTGAACATCTCATAGAGGTCCTCACAGAGGTCCTGGACAAAGTTCATGTCAGAGAGGCGGGACAGCACCAGGTCTCGGGTCTCCTGGGAGAAGGCCACCTTAGCCTGGGGGAGCCATGCCCAGTGGAAGGGGTCTGATTGGGTGAGGAACAGTAGATTTAGTTGTGAGCTCTAACAACATGCAACAAGCGTTTAACCACCCCATAGTTGAAAAAAACAGGCTCGAAAATGACATTCCCAGAACAATTGACTATAACTTCACTTCTAAAAAGGGGTAAATTAATAATCTTTTTTCTCAAAGCAATGATAAACCTGTGAGTTGGATGTAGAAAAGTCAGAATCAATATAGAATTTTTTTATTTTAAAGTAAATTCAGATTGATAGTTTCCGTCCAAAACAAAATTACTTATAGTGAAAACTACCCTTGAATGATGGGATAGTAGACTAAAAGCTTTAGGAATCCAAACTATAACATAATAAGTACCCTGTATCAAGATTGATGCAAAACAAGTGACATTTGACCTTTTTAGAGAGATTTAGAAAATAAATCCACTTCTGGGGTCATTTGGGTGCATTTTCCATATCTATGTCCCCCCTCGGTCGATTTTGATGATTGACACCTCTTTTGAACCGTTAGAGCCAATAGAATCGAGAGGGAAGTTCCTAAAATCCATCTAAACATTACCCATTGGTGAATGAGTGATGCGGAGCCAGAATGCCCAAAACCGGAAGCTGTCATACACTCTGGTAGCAGCTAATATGAAATCTCCGTTATTGACATAAATATGAAGATGGATTATCAGTAATCATTTCAAAGTGACACAGACACATTAGATTAACCTATGTATTAACCTTCAGCAGCGTTTTTATCGTTTTAATGCCATTGAACACAACTTTTGATCAGAACCACAGCATAGGTAAGAATTACTCCCGCGTTTGCTCCGTAATGCTACGTGGTGTGATGTCTGTCTTTGCTTCCCATGTCGCGAGTTCTGATCACTCAGTGATGATACTTATATATCTGGAATCTGTGGAATCTCAGCTTGCTAAGCGATATCTTGTTTGTGCAGATCTGATAAGTAATAAGGGTATTTTACCTTGAGTTCTGTGCTAATTGCGTTAGCATTTTTTCGCTCAGGGCTAATTCAGAGCCTTTGTTATCACCCTTTTGTTTCGTTTAGCTAAGCATGGTTAATATTGTCTGAAAGCTGAGTTTCTTCCCGTTAAGTGAGTATGACACATTCATAGTTTATTAAATGTTAAGAAGCCCTCAGACGCTGTTTCTTGCAAGATGTTGCGTTTTAGCGTGGGGTTTAACTGGTTAAACCCTTCCCTAATCACAAATGTCCATATTTGTAGGGTTTACATTGTCTTTGTTTTATGATGTTGTGTCGTGACTGACAGTCAACTAAAAGCCAATGCCAAGCTAAGCTAATTGTCTGCTGGCTTAAGCATAAGTGTATTTCCCAATATTCCCCAAAAACCTTTCCTCTGACTTATTATTTTCCTATAACAAACAGCTACAAATTATATTTCAAAATTAAAACCATTAATTCTAACACTATTATTATGAAATGGTTATGCATCATTGTAATTTAAATACATATTTTCAGATGCTGTGCCCTGTAGTTGTGATGGAATTGTCATCCTATAGATTTAATGACAAAAGTAATGAATTCATCATGGAAGTCAATAACTGCTGTTTCCACCGTTATCAGGAAGGACAGTTGTTGACAGGACATGAAAGAAGAGATCTGATTGGAGGAAACAGATCAACGTACAGGCTCTCCACTCGTCCGGGTGTTTAAAGGGGAAAGCCAGGCCGTTGTCAATCGCTGCGATCTTCATGCACGAGTCAGAAGTATTCTCTGACCAATCTGCATCCTACAGAGAGAGGGGGGGGATCAGAGAAATTGTTACCAACAACTCTCTGAGAGATTAATGATTCATGATCAGACACGTCATTGATCACAGTCCAGAGGCCTGATTAATTGCCACAGATAGATGACAACCTTTGCTCATTCATCATCCCATGTCACATATTGATTGATAATGAGTCAGACAGGGCTCTGGCAGGGCTCCACACGAGGATGAGGAGGAGCAAGCCAAGGGTTGTGAGACACATTTTAGCCAAAACAAAGCTGTTGGTTTAAGCCCACAAAGTCTATAAATTGCTTTTTTTAATTTTAAATCATACCAAATCCAAACTGATCAGAACGTATGTAACGGAATCAAAAGGCAGAGCGCTCAGAAAGAATGGTGGATTCAGCGCCTTTTACTCATGACGGCATGCGCTCTGTTTGCATTGAATTCAAGACAGAAATTGAAAAAATAAGTGCTCAGAAAAAGGCACTATCTGGTCCTGGCCATTGGATATATTCATTATGTATTCATTGACACCTTCAATAAGGTTTATCAGTAGTACACAATGATTGTACTACAAATGTATTATTTTACTAGAAACATAAATGCATTCTTTTTTTGACAAAAAGACAAAGATTTAAGGTGGAACCTGTGTATAATCCCATGCCCTATATAGCCTACAGAATGAAATAGTAAAGCTGAGGATTAGCATTCATGTCCCTGTTGTGACACAGGCCTGTTACTTTACAACATTTCCTGATTAAGGGTTTCTTTCAAATGGTCTTAGTGATGGCTGTGCTGTAAAAACAGCATGTAAATAAAGATTATTCATTCATTCAAGACCCAATACATGTTTGATGTACTGTTATTATTGAAAATCACTTCTTGATGCATACTGCGCCACAGTGAAGTTGCTGTTACGGGTGTTTTTTCAAAGTACACTCAATACTTCTGAGAATACTCAATTCTCAATGGGATCCGTTAGCTGCTACATTGTACTGCCGTGTGTTTGCTGCTCATGCTCTTTCTGCATATCATGTATTTATTTTGCTATGTATATAAATGTCATGTTCTTAAATGTTGTATGTGAGGGACTACGGATGGAAACTAGCTCAAAGCTCAAATCCGGCATTTTTACGTTTTTAAAGCATTATTTGTTTTAAATGTTCATCAATGTGCACTGTCCCTCGTCAAATAAACGATTAAATGAAAAAAAAAAAATAATAATTAGTTTGCCATTATTTGTCTAACGCTGAAGAGGAGTCAAGTCTGCCATTTGCCTTGCAGTGGGTGCTAATGAAACGCTCTGGTTGTGGTTACTGTAGCCAGTCACAGGGGCTCTGGTTTGTTCCAGACCTGTTATATCTAAGCTTTTGTTTGTCTATGTGGGCCCCTGTGTTCCCCTGCCTGTGAATGAGTGACAGGGTGCCATGTAACCAGTGTCTCACGATGAAAATCTATCAGCATTCCAGCCGTTCAATTGCATGCAGCAGAGTGAGAATTTGTCTAAACACACCCTTAGTATGTTTTGGTTTAACCTCACCTTTTGTCCGTCTCCTTTTGCTCCTTCTCCTGGCTTCTCATACTTGATCAACCAGTTATCATTTCCTCGATCTGAGGAGAAAGACAAAGAGAAAGTTTGATTTAAAAGGAGTCTAGAGTAATATTACGTTTTCATACGTAGGTGGGTGAAAGAGAACAATAAGACGGCTTAAAAATGAATGGACATTTAGATGACGAGTACAATTTCAATGTAACACAATAGAGAACTTTCCAGGATTCTGAAAATGTCAACAAGTGATTACGTACTGTTAAAGAACCCAAAGAGAATGACTGTAAATGGCTAGAAAGTAAAAAATTCATCTTAAGTAACATATTCAAATGAGCAAAACGAGACAATAGAAATAGACTGGAACAGGAAATAGGAATGGACTGGTTATGCAACATTGAGTTTACCCTAATGCCTCACTAGGAACATTTTGGCAATTTGTGGCTTTTTCCCTATTTATCAATTTGGTTTATTTAATGCGTTGTGGCAAAGATGTATGTTATCTTTTCATTATGGAAGGTAAAATAAAGTGAACCAAATTACAGACCATTAAAGACCAAATATATCTGCATGGACATTACAGCATAAAATCATGCATTTATTATAGCAGCCAGTCAATTTAGAATACTGGATCCAAAGTGTAGTTTTTGACAATTGTCAAAGTAATCAAATTAATATTGTTGCAAATCCACATATCCCAAATTGTGAAAGAAATATGCCCCTAGCATTTTATCATCAATAACAACAGTGGCATTATGTCAAAAAGTGGCAACTCACTGCAAGTGGAACTTATAGCTAATATATAGAGGACTTTTTTTTCTTTAAAGACATCGGTTTTTTTAAGTTAAGCTCAAGGGTTAAGTTTAGTAAACGTTGTGTTTAAATGTCAACACAGACACGCCCGCACCTGTGTTTCTGATGACGTAGTCTAACACCACCAGCCGTTCAAACTGCGAGTGCAGCTGCTTCCTGATGTTCTCTGGCAGAGGCTCTGCTTCAAAGCGCCGCAGCCAGAAGTCCGCTTCACGGTGACCCCCCACAAACAGCTGGAACGAGCCCATCTGAAAACAAACAAACATCCCAATATTAGAAATTAAACACAGAACATAACAGCTTCTGTATATGTTCATTATGTGCTGGGAGGTTGACTTAACAGGGTATAGTTGTGATGAGTTGAAATGCCAGTCGTTTATGACACTTAAAAATGAGGCCAACTTCCTCAATCTACTTCCTGAACACATTCTTTAAGTCAACATCTAACATGAGAAATGCTACAGATCATCAACAAGGCTGTCTCAGAGGAAAAACAGGAAGCTACACAACGTTGTTATTCAGGTTTCTGAAGAAATGCTAGAATTGGTGTTCAGCACACTACAAAGGAGATAAAAATACACAATCACTTTCTGGAAAAATAACACAATTTCAAGTGAAGATGACATTTATGATTCCTATGGCCTATTTGTCTAAATAAACCTGTCTTTTGAGGTAACAGAGAGTGTGACACGATCCTTTTACTGTCCTCTGACAGGACTGCAGCTATTCTGAGCCCACAACCCTTTAACTGCATTATGACAAGGCAGCAGACCACTGGTGTGTAAAACAAAACATTAGGACAATAAGGAAACTGTTTAAACGTGTACAAAAAAAGAGGTTAGTATGTGTTATAAATATTACAATTTGATACTAAGCCCATTGCAGATTAAAAAGAAAGAAATGCGGACTAAAACTTGGAAATTCTCAAAGAATAAAATGGTAAATTTGCAAGAAAAAAAACATTAATCTATAAGAATAACTAAATAAATATTCACCTTATCCAAATCAGAATGTGGTAGGCACAGTTCACTGAAATGTCTCTTCAAAGTCCAGATGATTACAACACTAGAGTGATTCTGGGCTAAAAATCTAGTTATCACTCTTATAGCTATATCCTTTTGCAAGATATCATTTGTTTGGTCTTGTACTGCAAGCATGATACACGGCAAGCAGTGGCAATAACAGGACAAATGGGAAGGAAACCAGAAGAGGTTTACTACACTTCAGTCTCTGTTGTTCAGTGATTGCTTGCAGAAAGCAGCTTGAAGGTGGTGACATTAGCCACTCTGGGTTACCACTCTCTGTTACCTTAGGGGGCAGGCCCACTCTGTGGAAGCGTCGCCCCACCTTGGGGACTTTCTCTAAGGCGTACTTCTTCCCTCTGGATTTGGCTCTGTCGATGGCGCTGTAGTGGAATGTCTCACTGGCCAGATACACCACCTGATGAAAAGGAACACGCTCAGTTAGCGCTGGAGGAGTTGGACCTTGTGACTACTGCTGTCTAGTTGCTCCTACAGCCAAGAAGAGAGAACATTCTCACCGTTACATACTGTTGCATTCAAGTGTTAACTGATTATTCTCTCTGAATGCATTTCCACAGGTTTTGTAGCTTGTGAGGCATTTTTATTGATCAAAACCAAACAAATGTCCAGGCTCTGGAAGACTTTATTATCACATATCAAGAGCAATCAATGTGCATTGTCACTTTGTTTTTTTTACCTGCAGCACTTATCAAAGCAATAACAAGTAAACACAAAAAAGCTTTAATGGTGTGAAATAATAGACAGTCTATAAATCATATAAAAAACTGTTTACATGTTTGCTGCAGAACAGAAAAACTCCCATGTCAGTCAAACTAGCTCCAGCAGCTGGTGTGAGACGCCAGGAGAAGACAAACACATAGGACAACCGGATTGTTTCATTTCAAATAATACAATATTTTCGGGTTGAACGATTGAATGTGTTAAAGAGCCACCAGACTAAATGAAAATGCACTTTCCAAGGGGTATATTTGAAGCAAGATAACTGTTAATAACTTGCTTTCAAGACTCTGTATGAACCCTGTTACAGTTCAGTCAATCTAAAATGGCATGGCGCAAATAACAAATCTTAAGAAAGAGCCCAAACCTTGGTTTTTGGCACCACTCCAAGGCCGAGTTTCGTATCAACCAGCGACGCAGCAGCCTCTGAGAGGTAACCCTGGTTAGGCAACAAGCAGCCTCGGCCGAAACAACACGGACAGCACAGCTAGTGAGAGCGGAGGAGAGAGAGGCAAATAAAGACACTTGGAGAAAAACGTGGTGTAACATGTCTACTGAACTCCTTTAGATTGTTTACACCCGGATAACACGTGACACAATGTACCTTGTGAAAATATTTGGTCCATTTTGGGTTAAGGTGACCGTAAGGTTCCTCCGACTTTGGTTTGAAAACACCAATGACTTTCTGTAGAAGAAATTAAGAAGGATACACAGTATTACATATCAAAAACGTGTTGCCCACATTTGGCTCATGGCAGAACATGTTGTGGTCATTACAGAAACCACAGGGCAAGACATTTTAAGCCATAAGCAACAAATGTCAAGTGACAGAGATGATGCTAACAAGCTTCAGATCAATAAATGTTCCCTGTAATGGATGTTAAACTTGTTAATGTGATGCTAGGCATGTATGTCAAACGTGAGCCATCAATGCAAGCTTCGCTGGTTGCATTATTCAGCAAGTGTCCTATGTGGAGTCCTCCTTTTAACTTTACTAATCAGCTCAGAAACCCAGTAAGCTAATTGCTAAAAGCTAGCATCTTTGATTGCAAGCTATCATTTCTACTGGTTCGCTAAATCTAAAAGGAGGGAATTTCTTTCTTAAATTATTGGTAATATTAAAATACATTTTAAAGCTATTATTAGTCCATGCGGCATGATCCTTCCTCTTCTCCCCTTCTCATATATCAGTGTGATTCCTCTGTCCTCTCCTCACCCCTTTCGGGTCTTTGACAAAGTAGCTCCCACTGGAACCCTGGGAAATCCTCTCTGGAAAGACTCCATTCTCGATAGCTTGTTCCGCCCTTTGGATAATATCTGCAAACTCGGGATCCTCTGGGAAATGGTTGAAGTCTCCACTGCTGCAACCTAGAAGAAGAAAAAAAGATTAGATTGATATTCATATTTACGCAATAGTTTTTCTTAAAGTACCAACAAAATGATCATTGGTAATCATCTTCCAAAATGCATGGTGGGATAAATGCCATGCAGTTAAATTGTTGGTAATTAAGTGTGGTTAACTGATGGTGACCTGTGTCATAGCATATCAAAATGACACCATTTCCAAAAAGGACATCACTTTGTAATCTGTGTATGTATGAAAAATGTATGATATAGAAAAACATGTATGGGTCATTTTGGTAAAAGAAGAAAAAAGAGGATTATATTTGCTATATAAAAAGCTCTTTAAAGTCAACACAGGTTTTTTTTAAATCTCTTTAACAAATGTGACGTATAATCGATCTTCTGCATGACAAAATGCTACTTCCAAATATGAATCGATTAGTTGTCAACAATTAAATTAGTCCACAACTTTTTGTATTTTTTTAAGAAGAAAAAGTATTCATTTTCATATACTACCAGGTTCTGGACAACAAGAGCTTTTGGAAAACATTGATCATCACTGCTATTGACCGGCAGTGGCTCAGTCAGTAGGGGCTTGGACTGGGAGCTGTAGGGTCGCCGGTTCAAGTCCCCAACCAGACCTAAAATATGGAGTGTGGACTGCTACTTGGAGAGGTCCCAGTTCACCTCCTGCCCTGCCGTGGTGCACTTGAGCAAGGCACCGGACACCCCCCTTCCCCCCTCACTCCCCGGATGCTGTACAATAGCTGCCCACTGCTCCTAGTACTATGGCGCATTTCCACCGCAGGCCTCGCTCGACTTAGTACGGTTTTGTTAGGCCTTGTTAGGCCGGGCTCACTTTAAGGCTGCCCTTCCATTACAGTTTAGTAGCTGGGGCAGTAACTATAGTAACGCAGTGTAGGCGGAGCCGTGACGTCATCTTCAATGAGCACCCCAGAAAACCAACATCAGCCGTTAGCTGTTAGCACTCAAGCTCACAGCTCCTCATATCTGTTCAGAAACTAGACAAAAGTTAAACAAGTACAAACCACAGACTGTCTGTGTCATGGCGAGTACAGTCGCTGCTTTATTTATGTCTGTATAGGCCGTTGTTGTGAGTCTGGACGGTCGGAGCATATACTGCGTTAGCTTAGCCGATCTCCATTTAGACAACACACATTTTAAAAGGTTTTTCGCCTGCCGTCTGTCTGCAGACTTGTCAAAGCATGAATTCATGGTTTTTACTAACCGGTATCAGTATGTTGTTACTTCGGCATCATTTTGAAACGTGTATTACAAGTTTAGCAAACTCAGCCCGACTCAGCCCTGTTTGTTGGCCCCGATAGAACCACGATTTTGTCGGGCCAGAAAAAAGGTGAAAAAGTGGCCCCGGGCCGGAACTAGGCATAGTGGAAACGCAACCAAAAACGGGCCCGGCACGACACGGCACGCTTAAACCGCGCCATGGTGGAAATGCGTACAGACTCCTGGTACTAGGATGGGTTAAAAGCAGAGAACAAATGTCACTGTGTGCTGTGTGCTCTGCATGTGTGACCATTAAAGAAGGTTTCATCCCTCCCAATTCTATTCTATTGACCGAAAAAACGAATCGATTAAACCATTTCTTTATTGCAGCCCTATACAAGATGTTGAATTGTCGAAAACCATAACAATTTTAATCAAATAATGCAAATTTCAATATGCTTGTAAGCCAACATATGTGTCAATATTTTCTATCAACTGTTTCTCATCGATAACCAAAGATAGCACGTTAAAAGTGGTGCCAGAGGTATGACACACTTCCTGTTTCATAAGCAGCCGCTGTGTAATGTATTATGTAATATCTTATTTTGCCAACTTTCTATATTTACACAGCTCCAAAACATATTCAGCGTTCTAAATATAAGTTAGCATTGACGTTAACACGGTGACACCGTTTCTCTAATGTTAACACTCTGTGCTACATGAATATAAACCCAGCATTTGAGAGCTGATTGATCGACTCGTCAGAAGTTGGATTTTCTTTTGCCTTGCAGATCTGATAGAGCTCTCTGCATGAGACTGCTCTCTGATGGGTATTGGGTGCTAATTATTTCTTTGATGGAGGCCCAATCATATGACATGACACGTTCAAGACTGTTCTGCTTCTTCACACAGGAGAACAGTCAGCTGACAGAAGGCTCCATATGCTCTGTATCAGTCACAGTAACGTCACAGTGGGATGCAGGGAGAGATGAAGGGACAGACACAGGGACGGGGGGGACGGAGGAAGGACAAAGGGACAGTTAACATGCCATTTGTCACAGAGAGATAAGGAGAAACAAAGATGCCTTTGAAGCCAATTCACATGAAGGTGGGACTGAGAGAGAAGGAAATTAAAAAGAAGGAAGAACAGAAGGATGTTGATATGCAAAAATTAAATCAGAGCAGGGATTTACAGCAATGGTTGCCAGGTTGCCATTGGCAACCATTTTGGGAAATTGGCAACCAGTTATTGGCCTTTGCTTACCATCATTGGCAACCACTCGTTAACATATAAAACATAATGGTGAAAACAGAGAGCAAAACTCACATCCCAAAATAAATATGTTTTGTACATTTGGACATTTAAATATTGCTGTTTTAAAAAATGTAGGGACGAAGCATTACTAGTATTTTGTATACCTGGATTTAAGAGTGGAAATGTTAATTTAGGATACAAATACTGTAAAGAATCAGATAAAACCACTTTTTTTTTCTTGGCCAGTCCCGCAACCACATCTAAACGTTTGTGTTGTGCCCTGAATTAGGGAGCTTAATAAAACCTAAATACAACCTATAATAAAAAACAGTACTCTGGTAGCCATGTGGCTGACTTATACCTTACTAAATACATTTAAAATGTCAACAGGTTCACTCTGAAAATATACATGTAAAGTTCATTACCATCCACCAGCCTGGGAATCATCACAGACATCTCTCTCTTTTTTAAATCCACACACCAATGCATTTTTTATGTTTTCAAGGTCTTTGCATTTTAAATACAATTCCATGGGCCACCAAAATAATGTTTTAGAAGTGAAGCTTTGCTTGAATGTTGTGCTCCATTCGGCTCTTTTTAAGCCTAGTTTATACTATAAGGGGGAGCCTGAAAGTATAGGATTTGTAATAATACTTCACTAGCAGGTCACAACATCATCTTACAGTGAATTGTCTGTATGCTGTCCTGCTGATCAATCCAATTTCCATTCAAGTCAACTATATAGTTAAATATATGTATAGTATATTAACTGACACACACACTTAAAGGTGGAGTAGGTAATTTTGGAGAAACCAGCTCGAGTGTGCTAGAATTTGAAAATACACAACCGGAGAAAATCTGCCACTTCCTTATAGAGCCCCTCCTCCAACACACAGGAACGTGCACATGACCAATGAGGGCACGAGATAAGTCTGTGCACAGATGGAAGGCTGACAGGCAGGTAGGCCATCCAGTTATTTTAGCCGGGCCGGCTAAAATGATTGGTTGTGCTTTTTACAGTATTACGGCTTCCACAGATGACATTTTTGTATGGATTTTTGTCAAAGCACTTAAGATATTCATTGCTATCGGGATGTTAAGAGCATTCCATGGAATATAACAAAAAGTGTATCTCGAGCCGGTTTCTCAAACTTACCTACCCCACCTTTAAACAGCATTCATGGATCTATTCACACAATGCTGAGTACGTTAAAGAGGACATAATAAGTCTCATTTTCAGTTAAAATTGATATTTTTTTACTCTTCGGTCTGAAATGAGAGCCTTAGAGATGTCCCGCCCTTTAGCCTATCACGTACAATGTGTTGGAGCGCTAGCCAATAGAATCGCGAGTGTTACATAGTGATGTAATTATGCTACGCAATTAAACAAAAGCAGTCCAATTTACAATGAACAAACACCTATATAATAATACACAACAGGAAAGGGAAACCCCCCAAAAGCACAATAGGGCCTCTTCACATTATAGTGTTCCAGTATGAGACAGGTTGTTTCTGTGAGTAAAGCCACTATGCAGTCCGCAGCAAACCCCCTGAAGCCGGATGTACAATGTTCACATTTTAATTACTAGTAAGTGCTACAGGAAGTGTGGCTGTGGAAGTATATTTTTGGTGGGGAAACTGATTGCTGTTGAAACAACCTCTTCTTGACTTTAATACGGAAATAACATGGTGCGTGTCAACACAGACCTAGAGATAGATTGTGATAAAGTACAACGGGTGCATCTGATTTACAGCACCATTTACTTTGTGTGTGTAAGACGGAGCTTAGCTGTCACAATATTTTATCTTCGTCATTTCATTTCCAACAATGGATCCAGAGTGTTTATTCAGCTGATGATGGATGTGTGCCTGTACTGATGTTGAAAGTCTATGATGATATTGTCATTGTGTACGAGGCAGGAGGCAGAAGGCAGGAGGCGGGAGGCGGGATGGAATCTCTCCCATCTTGTTATATTCACCCCACAGAAAGCTGGAGTGAATACACATGCACACTTCCTCTGTCCCAAATCCCCTCCTCATCATCTGTACAGGACTTCAAAAGTGTTTGCCCGTTTGTGTGTGTGTGCTTGCACAAAGGCCTTATGCATATTTAATGTCTGTCCTTCAGAGCCCTTGGTCAGTTAATGGGATTCGCTGAGCTTTTTCACAGCTGGAGTACAGCTGGCTCAGAGCTCCAGAGACCTGCAGAGCAAACAGTGTGTGGCATGTCGCATCAATGCACTCTGAACAGGGTCACTGCTAATATGAGAACTTAACACGCAACTGCAGTACAAGCTTGAATTCATAATTCATTAGTGCTTGCATTGAAATCCTATGCTCAGACTTTGACAGGATTAAAAGTTTCAATATATGCAAATGTGTCAATCAAGATTAAATGGATTACTAAATAAGATAGTTACGTTGCAATGCGTGCTCCTGGACAATGGGTGCTGTTATAAGAAGACAGTAGAAACAGGTGAGCTGAATGCTGTTTGGCAGATACAATGCAAATCTTAGCTGGATGGACTCGCATGGTTTAGGGTCATGTGTGATCAAATTTAACTGCCAAAATGTGCAAAGGGACTTTGAGTGACATTTTGCGACACAGTACAGCTTCTTTCGGGACTGTGCGTTTTAATGCACTGAATAAAAACTGCAATTCTACACCAGAAGAATATTATTCTAAAAAGGTCAGAAGAAACGAGACACTTACACCAGTCTCTGTGTGTCTAACTCTGGCCTAGATATCTGGCCCCGATAGAGCACAGTAGATCTCAGCAGAGAGAAAGCAATAGAAGATAATGTAAAAGGAAACAAATGCCTAAAAATTGTCTTGCAAGATGAAACAAAGGTGGGTGGTATGAGGGGGAGGGGTGTTGAGTCCAATTAGTAGTTAAGTCCGAATATGTGCCGCTTCCATGGTGACTGAATCACCTAGCCTTTGTTTTCTGCTATACCACCTTTGTTTCTTTTTATAGTCCAAAACAAATAGTGCTGCAAATATCTAAGGCTGAAAACAGACGATACACAGGCAAGAAAATATGTTCTGTTCTGAGGAAGAAATATGCATAATAAAAGCCTTAACACCGGCTTGAACTGGCTTTGTGTTAACACAGAGAATTATCATACAATTATAAGTCGGATTTTAGGGAGTTTACAGGGAGGACACTGTAAACTGCACTCGTGGCTGGACTTCTATGTAGTGTTGGGTCACCAGGTGATAGTGCCAGCTCATATCACCCAACAGGGAAGATAACAGCTGCTGATACATCAGCTGAGTGGAAACACAAACACTGGGTAGACAAACAGGGTACAGAATCCAACTCTGTGCAAAGTGCACAAGCCTAATGCCTTCAGTGTAATGTATGGGTAGTTATAACAACATTCACAGAGGTATATTGTTTGCTCAGAAATGCGGTACTTATCAAATGTCCTGGGTCAACAAGTTAACACCTTAATTCCTATCCATCACCAACTTTGGTTCTGGCCAAAACAGGCCCAAGTAGATCCTCCAAGGGCCTCAGCGAAGGGCCACAGTTAAATTAGGGCTCAGTGATATGAAGAAATGTAAATATAACAGTAGTTATGATCAAATACCTCAATGTAGATATTGTATGGTTAACTTATTGATTTGAGACAAATATTTACACAAAAGCATTTCCATACATTTTGATTAGTTTATATGAGCAAATAAATCCAATATGAGGATTGAATGACACCGTTGGCAAAGCAAATGAAAGAACAACTAGAACAGTTGGGTTAGTTCATAAGAGTATAACTTTACTGAAATGCAGCCTTTAAGACCAATAAAAAGACTCGTGACATATGGGATATATATCCAAAGTGTAAGACAATATCTGAGTCTCATATAACGATATCGATATAATATCGATATATTGCCCAGTTCTAAGTTAAATGGTTAACACTTCCCAATAGGCTTGTATGACATCACAACGTTTTAACCACGTCGCATTCACTGCACACCACAGTATCATTTTGCGTTGAACCATATGCGGCAAAAACCTGTTCTCCTTATCATCGAGCATGTGTTCCCTGACCTAACTTAAATGTCTATGTGTGTACTTCCTGTCAGGTATCCAAGGCGTTGATCCAAACATTTACCTGGGGAGGCCAGGTTCTCTTTATCCGACGACGAGCTGTGTCTGTCCCGCCTGCTCCGCTTCTGTCGTACACTCCGCGGGGAAGACGAGCTTCCTGCTAGGCACGGTAACAGCAGCGCCTCTTCGCCGGAGCCGTCGGTCTCCAGCTCGGTTAAGAAGCTCTCACAAGAGTCCGTAATACGAACCGCGGCTCCGGGGTTCGCCGCATGTCCCAAGCCTATCCCATTCCTGTCAAATAACACCTTCGGGGGGTCTGAGGAGTGAAAGTTACACTCTGAAACAGGCACCGCTGCGTCCCCGCTGTCAAGCAGCAAGGACTCGTTGGTCTCTGTCTCTGTCGGGTCGCATTCTGACATCATTGTTGCTCAATACATACAATAAATGTACATTTAATTACACTGGCTTCCCTTTCAGCTGTCAGCCGTCCATTTTAAAGAGACTCCCTTCTTTCCGCGAGTATATAAACCTTAAATAAATATCCAAAAACAGCAGTCCTCGCTCACCGATGATATGTCCACATAATCCTTCAAGAACAGTCTGCGCCGCTTCCTAGTTGGTACACTGCGCATGCGCCCCACAAAGAACAGCGTTGGCCAAAGGTTGCCTTCAAGTGCTCAACGTGAAGTCGGAACTACCGAAACAGTTAGGCAAAAACTGTTTCCTGTTAAGAGCTCATTTGAAGCAAAGCAATGAACAATAATTATACATGCAGAGATTTGTTAAGAATAAGGTTAGATTTGAAAATCTTGATAGCAAATGTTGTTTAAAAGGACAAACATGTTTTATTCAACTGCTGGAACGCTTTTTTTTAACAGGATGCATACATGGTTTGTTATAAAGAATGTAATTGAATATAATTGAGTAAATGCTGTTTTAGTGCAGACGGATGTTGAATAATATGAACAATAAAGTGCTGGAAATTATTCGTTTTCAATGGTCTTACTACATGTTCAAGGAGGCACTTTGCGAACAAGTTTAGGCATAGATAATGATGTTCATTCAATCACCTCAAAGCTTTCCTTCCTTTGAAATGTTGCAGTAACTTTTATGTTCACTAGATGTCGACAGTGATACACAAATGAAGACAGGTTCAAAGTGAGAGTCCCACACAAAGTGACTTTTGCTTAGAAGTATACTATTTTGTTCCTTCATTTAAAATTAAACTTTTTTATTTGTTCTTTTCCTCATAATCTTTTCATTATTCTTAATTTTCTCCGAATTTAAGGTTGGAACCACAAATTGGCATTATTTTCTTGGTTCAGCCACCACATGGGACTATATTGATCAATTCTATTAATTTCCACATTTCAGTTTGGACCCATGTTTTGAATACTGCAAAGTGACAAACCCTGCTTTTCCACACGTATGCAGTGTTGCCCCCCTGCTATACCTGCCTCTCTCTTTTAGTCCTTTCACTTTGACTCTTACTTTTCCTTCGGTCCTCCCAGTGCCAGTCAATTACCCAGCACACTTCACTCTCCCTTTAACCCTCAGCCCCTCTCAACCTATAACTCGGGCCCCAACATCACCTCCACCCGTCTCCCTAATAAGCGAATGCACATGCAAATGAGCAGTCAGCCAGCTGGTATCACAGCAGTCATGTGATCTATCAAGGTAGGGGGTGAGGGGGTGAAGGAGACAGGAGACAGGAGGGAGGATGAAGGAGAGGATGAGAGGGGGACAGACACGTTCAAAGACGTGCTGGAGAGACACACTGGCATCCCTCTGCTAGATGTCAGAATAATCCCATCAGCCCTCTCTCCCTTTGACCATCATCCCATTCATACCCTTTACTTCTGTAGCCTTCAAGGACAAACACCTCAAATGTCACTTGCCTGATGCATGACACTTTCCTCTTTCTCCATATCTCTCTCTGTGTGTGTGTGTGTGTGTGTGTGTGTGTGTGTGTGTGTGTGTGTGTGTGTGTGTGTGTGTGTGTCTGTCACCCATTCCAGCAGATCCTGCTGGCATAAGATGTGCTTCGGCCTGCCAACAGCAACCACCCTCATCCATTCCTCCTTCCTTCTCCTTCCCCCTGGCTTCCTGATGATGAGGGAGAACCCTATAGTTCCACGCTTCTTATTTTTTTACGTTAGTGTGTGTTGTCTGCGATTAGAGTATTTGTTAGTCAGTAAGTGAATACATCCACCCTGTGTGCCCAGATATGAGCATGCAGGAACCTGATTACAAAGTTCACCTCAGAGACTTAGACATCCACGTGGTTTGACATTGGCATTGACATTTATTAATACAGACGGAAAATGAATTTACATTATAAAAGTGAACAATCACATACACACGGCATCAAGTGGTCATCACACATTTATAAATATTTTAATTTTGTGTAAATTATAGTAGATGGATAGTTAGATATCTGTCCATCATTTATATGTATTTATTTATTTAGGCCTACTCTTCATTCTTTTTGTCCCTGTGTTCCTTCAGTCCATGTCGGCTCAGTGTGTGAACGAGCTGCAATGCACCATAGAGACTCCAGTCACCTGTTACCTGTCAGGAGAGATTCACACAGAGAGAAGACATTCAGAAATTGCATGTGTGTTTGTGTGTGTGCGTGTGTGTGTGTGTGTGTGTGTGTGTGTGTGTGTGTGTGTGTGTGTGTGTGTGTGTGTGTGTGTGTGTGTGTGTGTGTGTGTGTGTGTGTGTGTGTGTGTGTGTGCGTGCGTGCGTGCGTGTGTGTGTGTGTGTCTGTGTGTCTGTGTGTGTCATGCTCTCAGGAAGGCAGTACCTCTTGGACCAAACATCCTCAGGTAGCAGTGTGAACAATATGGCTTTTCGTCATACTGAAAAACAAATAGGACATACTGTCTTTACTGCGTCATTTATATAATCAATTATTGTAACTGCTATATTACCTTTACATAAATAGAAGATATAGTAAAAATACCTCAGCATGTTGACCTGGTGTGAGCTGTCTGTTGCACTTTTGACACTTGAGACACAGAGGGTGATAGTCCCTCCCTAAGGACCTCTTCTTCTCACCTGTACCAGAGAAAAATGAAAACTGTATAAATGAGAGGCGGGATGCACAATCAACAAACAAACATTGTAAAAATAAGAAAAACGATATACTATGAGATATCTTTTGAAGCAATCAAATGTATTTATTCATTTTGTTTAATAATTTTATTCTTTTTTATTCATATTTTTATTTAATTTGTCTCTTTTTTTATCCTATTACTTTACATTTATGAAGCATAATTGCTACTTTATCAAAATGTTGCATTATTTTATTTGCATTGATTCATTATTGGATATAGAGGTAAATGTTTGTATTTAAGTAACTACTATAAAGCATCACATTTATCAAAAAAAAGTATTATAATGTTGTTGTTGTTGTTTTTTTATTTTAAAATACAGTAGACATAGTAAAGAATGTGTTGTTGTATACAAAGAGACAAGAGGGCCAGGTCACATCATAGAATATCTACTTAGCTGGTTCATAAGGAGAAGAGTAAAACCAGCTGTAAAAAAACCAATTGATTTATTTGGTTTAAGTGCTATTTTGCATTCAATAGTGACATCTCAGTGTTGGGGACAGGACTGTAACTCAAAGAGACAGAAGGTGGGGAGGAAACCCAGAAAGCAGCTGAAGCTCGTTTGGCTGGACCCACATCCTGTTGTCATGGATGTGTGCGTGCACATTTGTGTGTCTGTGTGCTCGGAGAATAGAGCTTTATTAGCAAATAGGCCTCAAAAACCTTTGTGGCACATTTCAAAATAAATATGAAAGCTTGTTTTTCAAAGTACATACTATATTGACAGTAAAAGCACAGGCGTAACGAATAACATTAACGATGTCTCACTTACATGCAGGTGTGTGCATCGTTAGCAAAATGAGTTGCACCTGTGTTTGGCAGGTTATAATGTCCACTGTCAAACTACCAATAATATGAATACATGTTCACCTTATTACTTCTGCTTTACCCCTTTGTCCTACTGTGTTTTTCTATTCATATATTTTTTCTATTTTCCTTTTCAGATGAATCAAGTAACTGGAAGAAAATTAGAGATAGAGCTTGAAGGATGTTCAGAAAAAGAATGCCAGACTGAGTAAACACTTAAAGAGGTCACACTCACCGAAGTAGACGGGCTTCCCGCAAATTGGACAGTAGCCTACCATGATGGTATGTAATTATTCAACGACGACTGTGTGTGAGAACGTATATGCTTCATGAGCATGTGAGTGTGTGTGTGAATTGAAAATTGACAGGGAAACCGTTATGTCTGCGTGAGCACCAAAACCAGGATGTGGTGGGTGAGACGTCACCAGAAGAGAGAGAAAGATGTGATTTGAAAAGCTACTTTCAGTGGAAAATAAATCATGATATCAGGTGTTAAGCCGTGTTAATAAGCATCACTTTATGTGTATATACTGATGCGTTGGGTGCACAGCCATGACACTGTGAAGAGAGACAGAAACAGGGAGAGAGAGAGAAAGAGAGGGTGAGGAGAGGAGGGACAAAAACAGCTGTCAGCAGCTCAGGTTCCCAGCTATCTTCTCTCCCTGCCTGCTGTTTTCACCCTCTTTTCTAGATTAAAAACAAGGAGTTGAGCCTCTGAATTGAAAAGAGAAACCCGACACTTGGCCCTTTCTTCCCTTCTTTCTGTCTCTCTATCTCTCTGCACTGTCACATACTCACACACATGCATACCCCCCCTCACTGACTCACACCCCTTTATATTCTCTCACACACACACACTGTACTTCCTCTCAGTGACATCACATAAAGAGGCTGCAAGCCAAAGAGCAGAGGGAGAGGCAGGGTGAGGTCGGTTGGTTGAGGGACATGCAGAGGGGGAGGTGTGAGTGTGTTTGTTTGGAGGCAGATATCCCCTCGGGACAGGTGATGGAAGTCAAGCAGGGGAGGGACAGGGGTGAGGAGAGACGAGCGAGACAGAGGAGGGAGACAGTAGCCGGCCTCAGCTCAGCGGGGACAAAGAAGATGAACTCTGATGAACTTCTCAGAGCAGAACGGGAACTAGAGTCACCGTGGAGGACAGGCCAACGTCTGTGTGCTTCGATCCATATCACTGTCACTTGTGTCTTGCTTATGAATGACCGAAAGCGACTGAATGATATCTGGCAGTACAGTTGTACACGGGCGGAACAAGTATTCTAATTTTTTGCTGATAAAAGTAGCAACCTCCATGTAAAATCACTCAGAAATGTAAGTGAAAGTTGTGACAGTAAAATGTCCTCAGAGTTTCACATGTAAAAGGCTTAATGTTAAAGATATCCTTTTCAGTGTATTTTATTATATCTTTGTGTTATTTTAACGGGGACATATTGTGCTCACTTTCAGGTTCATACTTGCATTTTGTGCCTCTACTGTGACATGCTTTAATGTAAAAGCAGGAAAACATCAGACTAAAACGTTAATATAAGAAGCTAAAAGTATTCACAAGGTACTTAAAATGCCATTTTACATTACATTTCATTTCGCTAATGCTTTTATCCAAAGCGACTTACAATAAGTGCATTTACAGATGAAGAAGCAAACTCAAAAGCAAGAATCCTGCAGGTACATTTCCTATCTATAAGCCCATTCATATATATATTTATATTTTTGGTATCTCTTTTTTTTTTGGCAAAGGTGCAGCTTAAACAGTTGAGTTTTCAGTCTGCAACAAAAGATGTGTAGACTCTCTGCTGTCCTGAAACCAATGTGCGGCTTGGTCCACCATTTTGGGGCCAGGATAGCCAACAGGCCTGTTTTTGTTGAGGGGAACCTGGGTCACACATTTGACAGCAAACGAAACAAGAAAAAGGGCCAGGATTACAAATTGTGTTTTGGCAAAAAGGGGGATACATTTCCTGGAACCGTTGTAGTGAGAAACTGAAAATACTTAGAACATTTTTGGACAAATCTGTGATCAGAATGATATGTGGATTGGATAGTATAGTAGGAATGGTGCCAAATAGGTAAACAATGTTATAACTTAATTTACTCTTGGGTAGTTAAACCTATAATAACTATGCACTATATTCTATTGATTGTTTGCATATTTAATACCCTATTCAAATTGTAAGAACAGCAACCAGATACATGTAGAAATATCTACCTCTAAAATAAGTGTACTATAAGAGAAGTGAAGTGCAAGCACTTGAGTAAATATAGGCCTTCTTAATCTTCAAAAATGTACACGTGTGCTTTTGTAATGTATATTTCCCAGCTTTAAACATCACAAACACATGTGATGAACTTCACAAGGCTATGAAATATACCAAGTAGTCATCATTTGCATATTTGCCAGCATGCCGCTCCTGTGTGTCATGTTTTGCAGGGGGATGGAATACCAAGTAGCTATTTCATCTGACCAGCATTCCCTACAGGATAACCCATAATGTCTCTCCATCAGCATTCATTGTGTGGAGCTACACCCTGAATCAGAGGCCTATGTGCCTGCGCATGTTACAGCGCTTTTTATTCAGGTGATGATGTCATTACAATAACAGAGAACAGATTAGTTCATATGCACCAAGAAAAAGCAGAGATTTGATTCATTAGAGCGAGAAGGAATAGCTAGAAGCAGGGAGGATTTCTACTCGTTGGATTAGAGAAAAATGTAAAGGAATTGGAGAGAAATTAAAAGGAAAGAGGGAGTAGAGCATAGGAAAACAGAGGAGCTGTAATTGTGAAATGGAGAGAGGGAGAAAAGAAAGAAGAGGAGGAGAAGAGAGGGGGCGTTAAAACCACATTTCCCTGTGGATCTTTTGGTAAGACTGCGTTGAGAAAACTGCCAAAACTCTTAACACACACATTCCCGCACTGGCATGCACATATGCATGGTTCACTTCTGCCAAGTCATATGAGATACACCACTAACACACACATGGATGGAGGGATGTGGGAAATGTGTGTGTGTGTGAACTGGATTTATAGTAACTTTTAGAGAGTGGTGGAAACAGACAGAGCTCGGAGGAGGGAGAAACACTGGCTCCTCTCCTCCGTCTCCTCTGGTGGGTTGGAGCTCGCCGAGGCCAAACCCTCCTGACGCCAGCTTTGAGAATGGTGGGGGGGGGCGCAGGAAGAGGCTCAGGAAGGAAAAATGGCTGGATGGATTCCTTCTTCCCACACATAAATGCACTGTTGATCACATGTGCGTACACATGAAAGTATACACATGGCAAAAAAAGAAGCCTTTGGACGGTTGCCTTTCCCCCCCGCTCACTCTCACACACCCACTCGTCATCACGTTTCAGTTCTTGGCATCCTCTTTCCTCCCGCAAGCCCAGAATATGACATGGCTTTGGGGTTGCATCTCAGCAGCACACACAGAATCAGCTTTGCAATACAAGACATATGGCAAGCCAAATCAAGCAGCATCTCAAACATTTGACGGATGAAGACGACCAAAGGACCAAATGGGGACTTAATGGGTACCTGCTTGATACTTTGTACCATTCCTGTGATTGTTTGTTCGTGTAAAAAATATCTGTTTTCCAAATGATATTTCCTTGCTTTATTTTTTTAAACCATCAGACTGTCAACAGCACAAAGGGACACAGCTTAAGCTTCTCTACCCAAGCCAAAAAAATCCCTCATCCTTTACAGTTCCTAAGCCATTCTGGTGCTCATCTGGCACAGCCGGGTGGATATTTGGGTGCACCATGGAGCCATTTCTGGAGTGTGTTTTCCACAAATATCCCCCTCTGTGATGGCCTTTCCGGAGTCAGACGATCTAAAGGCTATAATCCTCTACTTAGGGTATCAGCGGATGGAAAAGTCAGAAAAATAAGTCCTTGTTTTTCACTATAAATCTGGCAAAGCCCGTAAGTCCCCCTCATGCCACTACGTAGCGATATGATAGTATGGTGACTAATACGACATGATTAGTAGCTGTGAGTAGCTGGGTCAGTCAGATTGCATTATGGGATGTTTTTGTTTGGTCTTGGAAGAAACCAATAGAGGAAATTGTGTGTTAATGGCAGATACTACACAGGTGTTGACGCCGCTCTGGCTTTTCAGTTTTCTTCGGGGCTACTATAATGTCCAATCCTCCCAATGGCTAACCAGACACTGTAAATACCATACGCACATCGCAACAGATAAACACACCATGCCATAAATAACAAGAACAAAACCTCCAGTATTTGTTTTGCAATGCCATACACTGTGAGAGTAACAACAGCAAAGGCCAATTAGAGATTTTAAGACAATGTTAGCCCAGCTAGTGGCCGGACCATATAGTTGGTTCAGAATTAAAAGATATATTGAATGCATGGCCATGACACTTTAGACATTTTGGACGGATGATGAGAATGGATTGTACTTATTTTGGATAGGGCTTCTTTTTTTGTAAACTGCCCCAACAACTTTTGGATCAATACAATCTGGTACTGCTTGTGTAGGCCACCAGCAGGTCATAACTTTGGTCCTGTTCACCATTTACATGCTCCCCCTCGGCCAGATCATCCGACATCATGGACTCAATTTCCACTGTTACGCTGATGATACCCAACTGTATCTCAGCACCACTCCATCCTCCCAGCTCCCCCCTCAGTCTCTCATCAACTGCCTGCATGACATCAAAGCATGGATGTCGTCCAACTATCTCAAACTAAACAGCAGGAAAACAGAGCTCATGGTTGTGGCACCCAAGGCGCTGCTCCAGAAGGTTGGTGACTCGAGGTTGACGGCTGCTCCATCTCCCCATCTCCTGAAGCCCGCAACCTGGGTGTCATCCTCGACTCCACCCGTTCCTTCCACTCCCACGTCAAGTCTGTGACCAAATCGGCCTTTTTCCATCTAAGGAACATTGGTAGACTCCGACCGTCACTCTCGGAGTCGGTTGCCGAAAGCCTAGTCCGTGCGTTTGTCACCTCCCGCTTGGACTACTGCAATGTCTGTTTGGGGTTCCCAACAAAACCCTGGACAGGCTCCAGTATGTTCAAAACTGTGCTGCTAGGGTACTCACACATACAAAGCCGTGGCAGCACATCACTCCCACCCTCATCCACCTCCACTGGCTGCCGGTCAAGTCCCGCATAACCTACAAAGTCCTCCTCCTTACCTACAAGTCCCTCCATGCCCATGCCCCCCAGTACCTATCGGACATCCTCCGCCCACATGCCCCACCCCGGAACCTGCGGTCTTCAGACTCTGGCCTGCTTACCACCCCCCGCACCAACCTGCGAACCTTCGGGGACAGAGCCTTCAGTGTGGCAGCCCCCACCCTCTGGAACGCTCTCCCTGCGGAGATCCGCAACATCCCCACGCTTGACGCCTTCAAAAGGGCCCTCAAGACCCATCTGTTTACTAAGGCCTTTGGCCCCTAATCTATTTGTTGTTTTGTCTGTCTGACTGGTTGTCTGACTCCCTTTTGTTTTTGTTATGTTTGTTTTGCCCCTGTTCTTCTTTGTAAAGCGACCTTGGGTCTCATGAAAGGCGCTATATAAATCCAAGCTATTATTATAACTTTTTTTTTTAAACTAGCCATATTCCAATCAGTCTCAGCTGTTTTTGTTTAGTTAGCAAACTAACACGCTAGACTGAACTGGGATCTGAACATCACCGGCAACACCATACCTATAATGAACATCAGTATGCTAGCATTGTAATGTATCTCTGATGGTAATTGTGATCCATTTAGCATACAGATGTTAGCATTTAGCTCAAAGCATCCCAGTAGCTAAGTACAGCATCACAGAGCTGCCAGCGTGGCTAACAGACAGATAAGTGTGATTCATTATCTAGAAATACACATTATTTTATTAACACAAGTGGTAACACACTCAGGACGGCTGACGGATAACTCATCACAAGCTCAGACTAGCAGCAAAACACTGATCAAACGCACAAAGCTAAATATCAAATTCTAATGGAGACTGCAAAGTTATCAAATGCCCTAAATATGTCAAACTGAATTTGGTTAAAAAATGTTATAAATTGATCTAAAATCCATTTGATACGCTGATGCAACCATAAAGAACGTCTTACTTGGGGTTAAATATTACAAGTATAAAAAACCTTCAATAAAGGGTTGGAACAAGCTGATAAAATGTATGACCCAGTCAGACTGTGTGGGATAATACCATTTTACCAGCCTTAAAGCTCATTTGAATGAAACAAAATGCATATCTAAGGGATGTTAAGCTAAGTTTTAAACTTCAAAGATCAACCTTGGTCCCTCAGCAGGGTTCTGACCAGTGTATAGCACTCGGCTCTGGTGGCGGGTCACACCTATTGTTTAGATCTGCTTGGGGAAACAGAGAGGCGGGCAGAAGGAAATAACCTAATGTGTTGCTTCTTGCCTGTGCATTCTTGGCATAGCTCTTTGCCCTTTTCATTTTTTGACTGTGATTTTTTTCTTTTTTTCTTTGCTTTAATAGTGAAGCCAAGGGTCCACAGCCAGCCAAGTCCCACCGCTCCAGTCTGGCTAAGCCACAGAAAGCTTGGCTCTCTCTCCTCTTTCCTCCCTCATTCTCTGTGTATCACTAGTGTGCGTTCCTCTCTTTTTCTCTTTGGATGTTTCTCCATGTCGCCATGTCTCTCCTGTTTGTCTCTTTCCTTTCTGTTTTATCTGTTGTGTCCGTCTGCATTGGTCAATCTGCCTCTTTGTCTCAATTTCTCTTCTTGTGTTCTCTTCCAATACACACACACACCACGCTCTCTATTTCCCTGCCTGTCAGTCTGTCACAGCCAGCGGACTGGTTTAGCAGGCGGGGTTCAGCTGGGCTCCACAAACACATGGCTCTCAATCTGCCTTCTTGTGTGTGCTGGAATGGTATTTATTTTTCTGTTCTGTTTAATCTTTTATTTTTATTTGATGGAACATTTTGAATATTTCCACACTTGATCTGGGCAGACATTGCACGCCTTATGGCCATATATGTTTCTTTTTTGTTATCATCGAACCTAGACTCACACATTTGGAATAAAAGCAAGGACGTGTCATCTAAAATCCAGCTGCAATCCAGAAGGAAGCCTTTTTCTACACGTGTAAATTAGAGTTTGAATATATCCATGAGAGACTATTTGCTCCTATCTGTCTCTCAAGTGAAATTGAATTATAGATCAAGAACCTCTTCACAAATCAGAATTCTCCAACTCAAACAAAGCCTGCTCCCATCTTCTACTACGCCTATTTCTATCTGATCAGCACCATTCATTCCGCCACTTAGACAGGAATCTAATTAGACCAGAATATCAACATTAAAACACATATCTGCCCCCCCCTCCTCTCTCTCTCTCTCTCTCTTTGTTTCTCTGCTCTTCCCTACAGCTGGTGAGAATATGGTTTGTTGCTGCCCCTCCCCCAGCGTTTGAACAAGCCAATAAGAGAGCACGTCAGCAAAATAACCCCCCCTCCACACACCATCCCTCCTTTTCCCTTACCACCCCATCCATTCCCTACCCCATCCCCCAGAGCCCTCTCTACACCCCATCCCCCTTTCCTACCACCCCTAACCCACTTACTCATCCTGCCTCCACCCTCCTGCACACCCACGAGACTTCCCCTTACCCTCCCTACTTTCTCACCCATGTTCATCCTTGCCTAGTCGTCTTCCCCTTTCCCTCTCACCCTTTTTCCTGGACACCCTACCTCTCCTTCATTACACCCACTCACCATTTTCCCCACTCCCATCTATGTCACTCCTCTTCCCTCCCCCACCTCTCTCTCCTCACTCTTCTGTGGCCTTATCTTATGAATATCGGTAGCACACTGGGTGAAAAATTGATCCTCCCCGCCTGTCTGTGGACGCTGCCACAGTGCATTAGCCTGTGTGTGTGAGTGTGTGGAGGTGGAGGCTGCTTGGGGGAGAGAGGAAGGGGGAGGGAGGGATGAGAGGAGGAGGGACGGAGGGGAGGCGAGGGTGGGAGGGATATTTGCATATCATCAAAGTAGGGAAAGGGAGTGTAATGAGGAGAGAATGTGAGTGTGTGTGAGTGTGCGTGCGTGTGTGTGTGTGTGTGTGTGTGTGTGTGTTTATGTTGATGAGTTGGGGTTGAGTGTGTGTGAAATGAGAGAACAAGACCAAGGGAATATGGTATGGGGAGCGAGATGAACTTGGATGGGATTAGGTGTGTGTGTGTGAGTGTGTGTGTGTGTGTGCGTGTGTGTTGTGTGAGTATTTGTGTGTGACAGAGAGGACAGCCAGACAGAGATCACATGCATGCTTCCCTTCACATGCCATCCATCACACCCTTCACACACACAGTCGGCCAAACACACACACGAGCACACACACATTGACACACAAACATAAAGACAGATGATTCATAGAATATTAGAACTAGACATATTTAGTTAAATGTCAAAAAGAATTCACATAATACATACATATCTTGTATCCTGACCTTTGACACAGCGCCCTGCAAAAGTGCTCTCTATAACATCATTCAGTGCTCAAGGAAATTTGAGAAATTACCATAGTTTAACATCTTATTGAAAGAACAGAAGAAGCTAAGAGAGTGTGTGTGTGTGTGTGTGTGTGTGTGTGTGTGTGTGTGTGTGTGTGTGTGTGTGTGTGTGGTGTGTGTGTGTGTGTGTGTGTGTGTGTGTGTGTGTGTGTGTGTGTGTGTGTGTGTGTGTGTGTGTGTGTGTGTGTGTGTGTGTGTGTGTGTGTGTGTTCGTGTGTTCGTGTGTTCGTGTGTACGTGTGTGTAAGGACACATGCACAAACTTGTTCCATCCGAAATCTGGCTCAGTAGCAGAAGGGTCGCACAAGCCTTTGTTTTAGCCTTGATGGTGAAAATTGAATTAGGCCAATTTATTTCCGACATGGGCTAAATCAACCCTGTTTGTTGTTTTCCTGTTTGTCAATCGTTATCTTGTTTCCCTTTTTTAATCCACTGTACAATGGTTTGCAACTTTTGCAAACACAGCAAATAGTTATTCTCAAAGCGAACTTGCGGCTCCAGAAGAAACAGCTGCAATGGGAAGGCAAGGCTTGGTATTTGTAAATAAATAATTTAAAGCCCCTTTTAGCCTGCCTCTCTGCTATCCGCAGCTTCTGATTTAAAAGGAGACATAATCGATTACCGATCCACAAACAATTGATAGTACCGGTAAACTCGCCGTTATACCTTAACGTTAATGAAAACAAAACATAATCGACACTTTTAAATATAGTTTCGTGTTCTTTTGTTTTCGCTGAGCGTTTGGGAGAGGTATATGCTGAGAAACCACTACAGACGGTTTCGGTTTTCTTGTATCGATTGGACATGGCTGGTGAAATCCTACTTGAGCGTTGACGGTCTGTCACATTTCACGCTGACTCCAAGCGAACACTGGGCGCATACACACACATATTCGCATACACTCACACGCTGGGCTCACCATATTATCGACAGATCCGAGGCAGGAGTACAGTACGAGGAGAGCACATACAAGGTAAGTCGTTGTAAAAAACGATTCAGGGCAAAGAAAATTGGACCGAGTTTCAGCGGTATACTCAGAGGCGGGGTCATTCGTTAAGATCGTGTTAATTTTAGCTCTGCTTCTTTCTTTGTAATTTTAGGTTGACCACTTTTTATATTTTCTCTGTGCGCTTGGCTGTTTGCCCCTTTTAAGTTGGAAAACCCTTACCGGTTCACCCTCAGTCAACAAAATAAGTTATTTTTAAAAAGCGTTCTTGTTTTGTTTCTATTAACCAAGCAATTTAAAGGGATTCGAGGCGTGGGAGGCTAGCTACGGGCTTTTTCTATGTGTCGGTCGGCGGAGGAGGAGGGGTTCATTTGGATTGCCAAGCTAGTGAACGACCTTACACAGACTGGCTAAACAAGTTTAAATGGTGGTTAAAGTGGACAAAGTTGACTTAAACTCAGTTCGGGGATTCATACGGCTCTCAGAAAGCGTCCGGGTGTGCTAACGCGGTTGTTCTCGGTTAGAATAGGCGTGATAATGCGTTTACCAAAATAAGCTATGCGCACTACGTTAGCATGCATTAGCTTGCCGTGAGCTAGCGATCCATGGCCATACGCTCTCCTCGGTTGTTATGAACTAAACGTTGCCGGTATACCAGCAGACTTGTCGTTACTTTCAATAGGAATAGCTATATCTTACATCTAATTCACCAACCACTTCCCATACTTTGTTACGGTAAAGAAAACGCGTGAATATGGGAGATATTTGAATAGGTAACACTGTTTGACGTTAGTGGTTGAACCAGTTTGGGGAATCACGCTGTGTTTAGTCGCGTTACTTAGACAAACTTGGGGGAAGTAGCTACCTCAAAGTCAAAACAGAAATGCTTGACTAAAAAAAAGTAGTTGGGGGGGGGGGGGTGAACATTCAGTGTTTGTGTACACGGTGATATAGCTCAGTTTAGCCACTCTCCAACTTTGTATTTTCAAACAGTGACTTCTTCAGTGAGAGGAACCGAGAGGAAAAACGCAGACAGAGAAGCAGAGGAAACCCCCCGTAAGGAAATGCCAATCGCAGCCGCTGGACAGCCAACGACTCTTGAGCCCAGAGTTTGCCCCCGGCTGCCCTCCACCCCGGAGCCTGTCCCTAAAGGGGCTGATTTATTCGACGAGGCGGGGGCGGCGGAGTCGGCGGAGCGAACAGAGTACGGGGGCGCGGAGGGGGGCAGAGGACTCGGGGGCTACAGCTACAGCCACAGCGGCGCTAGGGGCTTTGTACAGCCCGGATCCACCAACGGCTCTCCGCCGCAGTCCCCAGCCGCGTCCTCCTCTTTTCTCTTCCACCCGCTTCACCCCCACCAAATGGCCATGGAGCCCCCAAGGACTCGATCGCGTTCTCGTTCCGGATATTACCAGCAGTACGGCGGTGGGAACGGCAATGGAATAACCGGCAGCGGAGTCATGGGATCTAACCATCACCACCACCACCACCAGCAGCAGCAGCAGCAGCAACTACATCCACAGCAGCACGGTGCCGGTTGCGCACCACTTGGAGCTCACAGCAACCACCCGGAGAACCAGCCAAGAGCCCCAGGAAGTAACGCCTCTCCCGGCATTCAGAGGCTTTCTTCGGTTCCCGGAGCGCACCGCATCCCGGCGGAAGGTAAATATCCCCACTTGTCATTGTCACTGAATGTGTGTGTGCTAGTGTACCCTGGACCAAGATTGGTTGTTGAATCACACGTTTTATTTGACTTTATTAGGCTTTTAAATAAGTGATTGAAGTCAAGGTGTTTAATATGTTTTCAAAGGCAATATGAGAGACAGGGAGGGGGCTGTCCTGGGGTTGGCATGACAAAAGTGCCTGTGCATGTGTGAACACATTTGTTGTATTCTAATTAGACGGGGTGTTTTATGTGCCTGCCAGAGAGCTGCAGTGTGGATGTGGTGCACGCAGCTCGCACATACAGTAGGTAAAGGAACAACAGCAGTCTGTGGTGTGGGGACTGGGGGTCGCCTGGAGCTTATTGAACTGCTGTGAGTCAACCCCATACTCTTTCTTAAGGCACAGTGGCATGTCTACTTTAAGTCTACTACACAAATATTGATGTAGCTAGGTAACAAGCCTTTCCGTGTGAACTGTCTAATCTTTGTCAAAGCTAGGCATAGATTCAAAAAGGACTGCTTGATAACCAAGGCATATTTGTGGCCTGTACATTTGGGAAGGAAAAAAGACTTGCATTTCTGTAGTGACACCTTTGTTTATTTTACATACAGTCTTGTATAGCTGTTAGATATGGGGGTTTGTTCTCACAAACTAAAATCATAGTACTTCAAATCATCAAATCATAGATAGGGTTTTTTTTCTGTCTTGGTAAGCCATACTTTATATTTAGATATTTATGCTCCATTGCCAAGCAAAACTTAGTGAGGGTGTGCATGGACCGGTGCTGGGTGGAGAATACATGTGAGGGCACTCGCAGTGAATGCAGTGCAGTAAGCCACACATAGAAACAGCACAGCTAGAGTTTCACATTCAGCGGGGCGATGGGAAAGCTTTTATTTCAGCATAACTAACAGGCTTCTCAGGTTAGGAAAATGCTCGGCTGGTATTTGTGTCCTGCTGTGCTTTGGGGAATATTTTTTTGAAAGTGGTAATTTATTTATGAAAGACATTGAAAAGAACACAAAGAAAGACATTTTTTTTTTACATTTATTCACGTGCAAATCATGACACCAGTTTTTTTTGTAGTGTACATTGTAAAGGCTTTATCAAAGGCATCGGTTGAGAGGAATTTCTTACAGTTGCTTTCCTAAAACCGTCCACTAAATGATTATGCATACATGTTGGAATAACTTAACATGTATAGACTAAGAACCCAGACATTCCACTCACGATGTAGCTTCGTCACTACAGCTGTTTTTATTTTCTTGTATATAATTCTAATGCAATTTGTATAAACACAAAACAATACTCTACACTCCTCAAGTCTGTGTCTGTACTGACACAAATGTCTACATTTGTTTACATAAGATACTCAACAACTGAGTATTGGGACTGGAATTACCTGTCTGGGAGAGTAAGAAGGAAAACAGCTGAACATACATTAACAAACAAAGGCCTCTTTTGCACTGCCAGCCTATAGGTAGTCTAGCTGTGTGTGTTGTATGTCTCGCTTTAGGTTTGCTGGGTTTGAAGGAAATGTTGCTTAAAGGGAGACAAACTGAAACAAATAATTTTTCCAAAAATGACTAAAAATACAAATCCGCCTGCATCACCATAGACGGGGAGTCATCAGCAGACTTGTTCCCGGTCTGCTGTGACCTACGACCCGTACTTTGTCATAGAAACCTTGGCTATGACATGGAGGATAGCACAAATCAATGGAAAGAATGACTGTATTGTATTTCCATCCAAATGGATTTCGATCTAGAGGGGTGAGGCAGCGGCTCGAGATTCTACAGCACTCGCTCATTATCTCGATTAATTTCAATTAGACCTTAAAAGGCACTGCACACAAAGGAATAATAATAATATGGAAATAATTTAATGTCTGTGTGTGCATACATTTATATTTCAATCGAAGTGTAGCAAACGTATTAAAAAGCTAATTTGGTAGCTTGGAAGCACTTCAAAAGTAAAGCTTTATTTTGTAATAAAAAAACAGATGAATGTGTTTTATTTTTGAGTGCTATTTACATTGTTAATGAACCTAGCCAGAGGAAACCTCGGGGCTAAATTATATTTGAATATTCTTTTGCACGAGTGAAGCAGCTGGCCAGCCAGAGTTTTCCCCAACACTACACACCTTTTATTCGACCCTCTCCCATTTCCAGAGTGGCTTCTGCTTGGTGGGAGAGAGAAGAAGAGATACTTAGTCCATTCTTCCCGTGCTAGTCACCTGCGTTGGGCATGAAAGCTAATGATATCTTGTACTCTTCAACCCCCCCCTCCCTCTCAATCTCTAGTAGTCTATTCTAAATCTTCTGGCCTCTTTTGTGCCTTGTTCTTTCATGCTTGCTTTATACAGTTTGTAGCGATCCCATTTTTTTTCCTATAGTCTTTGACATTCTATCTCATGTGCTGTTCACACGGCTTCGCTTACCATTTTAGGAAGTTAACATGGAAGTAAAAGGACTCCTGAGAGCCCGCGTCTGCAAAATTTAGACTCAAGGTGCAAAAGTGAAGCATAGCAGAAGTACTTAAGCTTAAGTTCCAACCAAATGCTTAAAACTGCTGCCAAATTGGTCCGTCTGGGTAAAAAACATCCTCTGTAGCAGCTGATATCCTATCCTGACTCTGACCTGCCTCTGTCACAGCCTGTCCTCTCTTTTAGACATTCATCTCTCCCTCCCCTTTAGTTCAGTCAACCCTTTCTGTACCCCTCCGGTCCATTTTCTCTGGCCTCCTCCCTCCCATTTGCCTAATGGAGGGATCGTTTTAATGGATTGCCCAAAGCAGCAGAGGGGCAGACACTCCTGCCACTCTACCTTTAGCCCTGCACTCCACTCCTATCATCTCCGTTCTTGTGTCTCGAGCTGAAGTGGAAACATGTTTTTGTTACTTTCCTTTGTCTTGTCGCCTGGGCAACCCCTTTTTCGGTTTGTAGAGAAACTCATTCACTTGGTTCGACCGAGTAGCAGGGGTTCCCCGCTACTCCGTCACTCCAAATAACTAACAAAGCAGTCACTTTGGTCAGCAAGAGAATATCTCGGGGGTGGAGGACAGTGACCTCAAATCAGCATTACACTCAATGTATTGGCTTTTTTTTGGGATGCACCAATCTGACATTTGTAGCTCTGATCTGGTTTTGTAAAACAAGTGGGAAAGAAGAAGCCAAATGTCACTACTTATGTTGCTTTAGGGAGAATACGTTGAAAAAATGAAATGGAAGCAGAGAGACTCCTTCAAAAGAATGAATGTGTTGGATTTTCCTGTTATAAGAGTTATCGTTTGGAGAAATTGCAGTGCCTGACATTCAGGAAGGTCAGGTGCAAGGGGAGGATGAGGAAGGAGGAAAGGGAGAGATGATTAGAGGAGGAATACAGAAAGGAGGATGTGAACAAGCTCATGGAAAAGGGCTGACTGTTGAAGGGACACAGGAGCGTTATTGTAAGCATGGCTCAGAGAAGGCATGCCTCACAGACATCAGTTTAAGTGTGCAACCTTGGAGGAGGTGTGGATACTGTGCCTGGAAGGAGAAAGATGAAAATGATTGGCTAGGAGCAGATGGAGGCCTGGTCGATGGGGAGGTCAGTGGTTGGAGCCAAGAGTTGCTATTAGTCAAAGTATGGTGGAATCCATTAATGTGTATCTGCTGATGTAACTGGAATCATCCAACTGTGAATGTCTTGCTGGTGTCGTTTGGTTGTGATAAGGGTGCAAGACTGTGGTTCCACTGGATGTAGTTCAGATTAGAAGGAGTACGTCTTAGGCCACCATATGTGTGTTAGCTGTCTCTTAAAGTTGTAAAATGGAAACGACATGGATTCTAAAAAGAACTTGGTTACCTCTTTCTAAGTTGTTGTTCCAACTAGTCTTACTCGTTACCATTAATTAAAGGCGGGAACTCATTTTTAGATTATTCTGTCAACACACGAAGGCAGCACAGATGCACTGATTTTTACATTACATGTCACTTGTTAGACTCCTTTATCCAAAGCGACTTGCATACATTCAGCACTGTGGACAATCCCCACAGGAGCAATTTGAGGTGAAGTGTCTTGCCCAGGGACACAACGAGATGCTGACTGCAGTGGGACTCGAACTTGCTATCCCCTGATTCGAAGTCCAGCACACTATCCACTGAGCCACAGCCACCCAGATTTAGATTCTGGGTTCTTTTTTGGCCCGTGCTACTTCCTTCCCTTAAGTTTTTTCAGAGTTGGGCCAGTTATTTTTTTCGTAATCGTTGTCCTGCTGACAGACAGAATATTAGAGATAACACATTCACTGTTTCTTTCTTCTTGCATTTTTAATCTCCAGCGTCATTTGCAGTAATTCTGTGTCTCAACACTTTGTTTGCGTCTTCTTGTCATTTCAACATGTCTGTCTCCTTCCCCATTTCCACCGCTTCCTCCTCTTCCTGCCTTTTGTTGTAACAGTGATGCAAAGTGAGTTGGCACATGAAGTGAATACCCCACTGCAAGTCTGTGTAGATTGAGGTATTTGGTCTGTTTTGTAGTCCAATGTTGTCTTTATTATTGTATTAATCTAAATAAATCGTAACCTATTTTTGTCATTATTGGCCTGATACAGCCAGTATCTGTAATCGCTTATTCAACTCATTTTGAAGAATACCTAAGGAAAGAATGTTCTCCTAATACAGACATTCAAATAATAATTTTAAGGAAGACATTTTTCACATGCCATCCATTGTGCGGTTATAAATTGTGCATTAGTTTCCCCAAAGACACAGAAAAGCGCATTTCTTCACAGAAGCGCCTCCTCATATTGTTTCACTGAGTTGATGGCTGACTTGTGATGATAGTGCTGATATTTACGATCGTAGAAAATAAGTGAGACTCTGCCTTTCTGTCCCATTACTTCCTTTGCCTATAACACTCCCTCTCAGCTGGCATCTGTCCTCACTGGGGAATAAGAAGGGAGGGGGGGAGGACTTTGAGGACAGAAGGATGAGTGAGAGAGTATGTGTACTTTAA